TGAATTAAGTAAAAAAAACGTTCCTCCTTATTGCCAGTTTGTTGTTCCACCCATGATTGGCCCGAGAGCGCTTTCTACTCTATTACTTTGATATCCGTCTACCTGTGTCATTATACAGTCTGTGGTCCCACTCAAAATGCACACGTACCATAGCCTAAAATGAGCCTGAATAAAATGCATGCTTAATTAAAATCTATCAAAATCCCTGTCTGTCCCCTCTCAGTGTGTTCACACTGAGCTCTATACCCAGAGGAGGACGCACAGCAGAGTATTAGAAACTTTAGAAAGCAGCCAGAAGTGAACAGCTGAACTTTCAAGCAAAAATGAGGCCTTCCTACCTCAGTCAAAATCCTTAAGACCAGGACTGTTTTCATAAACATGACAGCCAGAGGGCTTATTGCGTTACCAATATCTGACAATCTCTTATCATCCCTTCATTAGAGCACCGTTGGTAAACAAACCACCACCACATTAGGCACTCTGTTGCACTGTACTGGAACCACACTGGATCCACATTCAGCAGACAACAGACTTTGATCTACTATCCGCATGTTTCCATCATAAATACAAAAATAAAATGCTGAACCGTTAAACTGGCACGGCTCTGCTGGTCCACTAGCACTCCTCCTTTGTCATTTCCTAGATCAAACCGAGAAAGTGTCAAAAGCACATTAAATGTCCCTACATTTCATCATCACTCGGCGACCTTATTGAGCAGAGTCATTCTGACACGGTGGAAGAGTAAAAAAAAAGACGTCTTGTGTCTTTTCCTAACCAATTTCTCCTCGACTTCGATGTAAAACGTCATGAGGTCAAGTAAAGATGTGAAAGGCAATTCATATTGACTCCTCAAAAGACAACCGCTGTGTTAAAAGAACCCGACAGCACTTACACTAGGATACGTAATTATGGGATGGCGATGTTCAGAAGATGGACCACTAAATGTGCATCTTAGTTACTTCTCCTTGTGCATTCTTCCCATGTAGTTTGATGCAGGCTATAGGTTGGAATTTAAAAAAGGAATATAGAGATATGGTGCATTGCTTTAAATTGTGGGATGGCATTAACTATTTGTTCCAGTGTATCCAATGCTAAAGGAGGTAAGAAAGGAAGCATTAAAGCACCTTTCCTTAGCAGTCAGAGAATTTGACCAGCTCTTATCATGGCTGCCACTTCTTCCCGGTCATTTCACTCAGTTGGGAACGTTTTTATAGAAGACTGTTCGACTGCAATCCTAGTCAACCAGGACCAAAAATAGGAAACAACAAGGCTGCGGTCAAATAGTCTTTTTAGCTTAGGAAGGTTACTAACTGAGTGAAAAGACCCCGAAGCATTTAAAGTGGCAGCCATGATAAGAGCTGGTCGAGTCCTCTAAATGCAAAGGAAAGGTGCTTCAATGCTTTCTCATTTCCTAGGATACACTGGACCATTCTTTATGACAGGAAAGGAGATAACACGACCATTCAGCAGTCATTAACATCCACCGTCACTGTTTATTGTACACTATGGATGAATTAAAAACATCTTTCTGACAACGTGCGATTCTGTTTCGGACAGGAATCCTTGATTGAATCACACAGCATTGAGTTTTTCATTGTACTCATTTTCTGTGCGTTATAAATAAAGTTGCATTAAAAAAAAATATCTGTAGCCGAGAGTAAGTGCAGGATTCTCTAAGCACTGTGGTGATGCTTTCCTAAGTCTTTATGAATTATCTTTCCCCGTCTCTAAAGTAAAGGAAAAGAGGTTAGGAAAAGACATAGGAAGTCATTCTTTAGGTCCTATTCGACTGCATCGTAAATTTATCTTCGGAGCTTCTGGTTTTACGATAAATGGAAGGAAGTACTTTAGAGTTCAGTCCGTATGGTTCTCACTCATCCACGATTAACAATGTTTAGCTGCAGTGTACAAATACAGACCAAACCAGCCTCATTGAAAGAAGACCACTTCGGCTACATCTGCTTCAACGGTTAGTCTGTTAATGGCCCGTCTTGAATGCGAATCGGTTACATTGCTGGAAAAATAAAAGCTACTCACATCCATCACCATTCTGCTCCAGTCTATTTGGGGTAAAACAAGGCCAAAGTTCAGTTTGCAGTAGCGGGTGTATACTTACACAAACTATGAATGAAACATTATTTGAGTAGAGGGCACTCTGAATTCTGGTGAAAGACGACATCGTGCATTTCATCTGTATCATCGTCCTGTGGTGAGTAACTCTGCGACGCTACTGTCATTGTAGCGTATCCATGTACAGCATGTGACACCAGACAGCAAATATGCACAAGCAGCCATGCTCAAGTACTGAAATACAAAACAACAATAACACGTTGTGAGCAAATGCCCCTTCCGTTTAATCACAGCATTGCACTAATGCCGATTCAAGTCCCTGTGTCGGCCACAGAAGTCTCTAAATGGATGAGAGGAAAAAAAAAAAAAAAAAAAAAAAAAAAGCTCTAGAGGTGCTCATCTGACCATGACCTCTGACCTGCCTGTCAAGAGAGATAAGCTAAGACAATTACTCTATTGAAACGATATCCTCCTGCTGGAGATTATACATCAAACTGGCAAATTATTGAATGCCAAGCAACCTCCCAGATCGATGTGCCAATGGGGACGCTATTAAAATAGTCTGAAACTGATTAAATACGTCTGCACTGATTAAATACCCATCAAATAATATCAATAGCATTATGCTCTGAGGTACTTGTACATAAATGGTAATGTGAAATCTAAAACTCCAGCTCTAATTTGCTTTTTCTGTGCAGTAAAATTGATATCAAGACATCCTTAATGGGTATTTCCTACCACCGTTAAGGCATCTTAAACCTAAATTGCATCTAATTAGACTCTTCCAAACAGGTTTTATATTTGCTGTTTGGCCTGTGAGAACGCATTTGTAACAAACTACAATTGCAACCAAGCTTGACGGAATCTTCTTAAATACTGTGTGCAGTCATTAGAACACAGCCAGCTCCCAGCACCGAGATGTCATATCTACTGTGCTTTTCATAATTCCCTTCCTGCACTTGATTTTCCACTAACACAAAGCTCCAGTAAATGTGTAAGATTACAAGCTGGTGCAATACGCGTCCATGGGATGCCTTCCCACAAATTACAAATAAGATATAAAGGTATTAAAAAAAAAAAAAAAAAAAAAGGTCACAAGCCAGAATCCTACCTGCTGTTTGATGTTACTGAGGCACGTTGTGAGCACTTTTCTTTGCTGAGCGACCAGAGTAAGTAGTTGAATTTTCCATCACAAAAGTAACCCTAGAGGCTCCCTTTCTGTTTATGTTAAGCTAACTCCAGCTATGACTGCAGCTGGATCACTGGGCACCATGTGGCAGAGGGTTTAGAGTTTAGGATAATACCATACTGTACAGAAAATACATTTTTCTATTGTGAATAATAAAGTCAAACTGGTGCAAGAGACTTAAAGCATCTGGAATACCATTTGCAATATTCTTCTCACTGTAATTAATACCAAATTGCCATATAATGCCGTCTAACGAAAGGCGGACTCGATGTGTTGCGTCTAAGGGAAAAGTAGAACAGTGTTAACGCGAGCTAACGCGGTCACAAAATGACAGAGCCAAATGTGTGACAAACAGAATGTCACATTATGCCCCGCGAAACACTGGGATCTGTCGTGAGTCTTTTGTGGTGTAGCAGCAACTGTCACATGTAAGCTACAGCACTTTGTCTGAGCAGTGGATGTGATCGTTGGCTTGCATGGCCACTTTCTGACCTGCGACTGCGTGTTATCCACTCTCCCATTCACTTCTGCCGTGTGTGCTCCAATGGGAAACAAACTGAATCATAACAATAGAAGCCCGCTCATTCTCTCTTATCTTTTTTTCCCCCACTTGTAGTCAAGTCATGAGATCTGAATTTGCTAAAATGTAGCTTTTAAAAGGAGTAGGTATTTGTGTTGTGTTTCTTTGTCAATAACATGTTTCATATGGTGAAAAATAAAGAGGTTAGTTGGAACTAAAAACGAGTAAATCCTTTGGCCTGGTGTGGGAGTTGTGAATAATGTCCTCATCAGTGTCAGAAATGTCTGGTTTAGTCCATCATCACCGCGAGCGCTGTAATGCCAGGTGTCAACATGTAGCCATATTAAAACACTTTCATTCCAAACTTACAAGTTGGATTGGAACTCCATCCGGTGTCTAAATCGTGTCTCTTGATCGTTTTACTTCTGTCAAGCTGAATTGTAAAACTTACTTCCTTTCTTTTCAGCAGCTTCATTTGAAGGTTGTATAACGGCAAATCACACATGCACCACAGTCATGAATATTGCAAATTCATTTTTGAAAAACAGCTATAAAAGAAACACAAAGAAGACATAGGCTACAGTGGCATTGTTTATGGTGTGAAGCTTTGCTAAGATTGTGCTCAGTACATTGCAGACATTGCCTGCATCAGTTTGCATGTCCCTCTTGTATGCGTGATAGGCTTTGTGATTGCAGGAAACTCAACATCCTTATGTCACAATCTGCCTTTAGTCAGTGTAAGCGCGCTATCTGGGTATTGGTTCACATTACTGGTGCGTTTTTCTCTCTATCGTCTAATCTTGGTCATTTCTAGTAATCCCCTCACCTAGCAGCTCAGAGTAATTAGCTACCAAACAGATGTATTGTAAAAGACGCTGTTGACTCAGTTAAATGAGTGTAGAACTGCCTATAGGAAGCCTATCTGTCATGTTTGTAATTCAATCTTCCAATTAGGTCACTTCCTCATCCGCATTTGTTTTGCATGCAAATTAATTGTAACGCAATCCTCAAAATAGGTCAGATTTTTCACGGCAGGTCCACAGGAATGTTACATCTTCATTACATTTACTTTTCTCCCCCCCCCCTCTCCTCTCATCAGTTGAGCTGCAGGACACCACCTGTTTGGATGAAGCCTCGTCGTTTTCTTAGCGCCCTACCTTTCTACACCTATCAAAATGAGCCTGACATCATTGTAATCAGCTGTGCGAGTCTTTATCTTACCTTTCACGAGACGTTTCGGCCTCCCACGGGGCTCATTGTTCCGGGGAATGAAAACACTCGTTTGAGTCACATCAGTTGAGGTCCCTGAGAGTGCCTTTTACATCCCAAAACTGAACAGCGTCAATTTAAAGGAATGACCTGCGAAATGAAGGATGAGCCCCGAAACACCACAGCTGTACTCCTCTCGTGTCTTGTTACCCTCTTTGTCTCATTGACTGGAGAACAAATATGGGCGAGTTTTGGATGAAAATGTGTTCGCTTCTTCACCACGAAGCCGGCGGTCGCACGACAACACGAGGGCTGCTTTTTCTTTTTTTAGGTAAAAGACGAATGTCTCCTGCTATTTCTCCGACACTAGCGAGGCGTGCGACGGATGAGGCATGATTGCTGCGCGCTCCCGACAGCACAGGCTCGTGCGCGGGTCAGACGCTCCGTGGCCGTGGGAGTGAACCGCAATAAGAAATAATTCATGGAAAAGAGGTCGGCATTTTGACAGAGCGAGAACTGCTCCTGCATGTTGCACATTGGCTTTGAATAAAAACAGGTCATTTCATTGAATGAACATGAAGGCATATGTTTCATTAAAGGTCTCATTTAAATGAGTTGATTATAAACGGACTTCATTAAGCTTCCTTTCACCATGAGATAGAAGATGGCAACAAGAGATGGCTATGGTGGCCCTTTTGCAGCTAGCAATAAGCATGAATCTAATTTGCCATCTATTTATATCATCCAAACATCTGCATTGAACCTCCCGTATCAATGAATGCACGTTATTTTCTGTTATTCATGCTCCTTTAAATGAGCTCTTTTCATTGACATTATACGACTTGTTATGTAAGACTCCTTTCCTGGATGATTCTGTAAGAGTGGCTTTCCTCCCTCGGGGCCCAGTGAGAAAACGAATAGGCCTCCATGAGAGCAGAGACACAGAGCGGTCCCTGGCGCCTTGGTTTCTGCCTCTATTATAAGGATTATTTTCATTTATTTGGTGGATGGTCTCATGAGCAGTGCACACTCTCACTGCTCCCCATTCATTGAAACAGATAAGCCTACACACACGCCACAGTGCTGCAGCTCCAGGCTGTGCTACTGAAGAGCCTGAAACAGAAATGCTCCTCCAGATACTGAGGCAGGATGGGAAATAAATGTCCCCTGAGTTTCACAGCTGATCCAGTCAATACTGACCTAAAGCTTCTGTGCAGCCTCAAGGTTTACATGTGTTCTAATATTAAAATCACACAATGGGAATGCAACAGAAACAACACATTAATTGCACATTTAAGGGTAATGTCTTTTTTTAAAGTTGGTCCAAAACCACAGTGAGAGTTGTACTGCAGAGAAAGCTGGAGGAGGACTTGGTAGCTTGTTTCATGTCACTGAAGGTCTATTGAAACCCTTCAACCTTTCAGAAATTATAAGATTTTTGGAATTACAGTATCTCTTGCTGTCAGTTAGGGACTTTAAAGCTGCATCATGTTTTACAACGTGGGTCTTTAGCCCCAGTTAAATTAAGTTATTACTTTATTTTTACAATAACAAAAAATCTCTAGAAAGGTTTAAAGTTAGACCATATGTCCTGTTTTCAAAACAATATTTTTTGTGAAAGAAATGCCTGTTAGCATGGACGGAAGGCCAAAACTGACTTAAAAAGATGTGTTTTCAGATTTAGCTGGTTAACCTCCAAGTGTGAAAACAAAGAAGAACCTTTAAGTTTCCTGTCTTACCAAAAGCTATCATTTCTTCCACAACACTTTAGCTTTGACCTCCTGCCCTTATCTACAAGTATGCTAGTTTGTGTGCAGTTATAACACCTTAAAATAAAAGGTTGGGGTGAACTGGAGATTAAAAATTCTGATTGTCTGAGTACTCATGTTGATTGTCTTGCTGGATCATACTATATTGTTTTTTCTTAATTATGTCATTGTGTCTGCTGATTTCAGTAATTCAATTGTAGATAGCGGCAAAGTAAACATGACCCAGGTTATAAAAACAGACTTTTTTCTTTAAGCTTACTCCATAGTATCCAGCAACCTTTGCACCCTAACAGTTATGATGATACATGGTCAACATCACTCACTGATGACTCGGCGCTCAGTTTGACACTGTTACACAGACTTCCCTCATATGTGTTACTTCTTAAAAATTCAAAGGTACACCAGAAGCTGAGGAAAAGACCCTTTTGCTGCAACACAACCTGAGGAAGAAAGCCAGATGAAAGAACGGAAGTTGACTGTGTGTGTGTTTGTGTGTGTGTGTGAGAGAGAGAGAGAGAGAGAGAGAGAGAGAGAGAGAGAGAGAGAGAGAGAGAGAGAGAGAGAGAGAGAGAGAGA